GTCGACCTCCACCATCTTCATTTTTCCTTTGTCCTTCGAAGCATGTGACGGTCTGGGGGCATCATGATCCTTCATTCCCTCCTTTATCAGTGAGAGTATTTGGTTTATTTTGCTCAGCATCTCGAGTTCTGCTTCCCATGGTCCTTCACCCTGTCTTCTAGCTCCACTTCTTCTTCCACATCCGGGGACAGTCTGTGCATCGTCATTGGTTCCACGACCTCCTTCATGGGGGTAACAGAATCTCCTGCCATCTGAAGGAACTCAGAAACTTCCTCAAGGCCCCACAGTGGGCGCCAAATTGTTTACGCCTAGAAAGTGCCAGGCGGGGTTGGTGGGGACTTCGAGGAGATCACTTCTTTCCTTGAGCGAGAAGACCGTTCCTGCAAAAAAGATCCGGGGTGGGGGCCCAGGATACTCTCCACCGATCAAGTCAGTATTTAGAGAGAGAAAGTAGATAGAGAAAGAGAGTAGGTTAGTTACCACTAAATGTGGTGGTTGGTCGGTATTTATAGTTGGTGATGGTTTGTATGAGCATTTAATGCTCTGTCTTGCGTGTACCCCACACGTCAGCTCAAACAGCTACGCCTCCGGCGGCATTTAATGAAGTGTCAGTATAGGCATGATTAGCACTGACTGTCGTCTTATCTGTCGTACGTCTCTTACGCACGTGATTCTAGAGGCGTCTCTGCCTCGGGTCCTTTACTCGCTATTGGGCCTTCGTGGATGTTGGGCCGGCAGACACCTCCGGTCCTTTACTCGCTGTTGGGCCCTCATGGCTATTCGGCCAGCTCTTGTTTTATGGGCTTTGGTTTAGGTATGTGTTCATGTATGGCCCGACACTACCTAACCATATGTCATATGCCTAAAACAATGAACCGTCAAAGATTGCATATCAAGTTTAGAAAAATTGTTGACTTCAATAATAACTCTACTCGGTTACATAAACCCTATACACTGAACCCCTTACCTTAACCATCAACACCTTATACAATAATCGTATACCTATATGTTCATAAAATTTTACATTTTGAAAATACTTGCCCAACTAAAGTACATAGGTACTTCAAAATTGAAATTCTAACTTTCTTTTCAAAACATAAATTAAAAATTGATCTTCGTTAAGTATCGAACCACAAACCCCTACTTTATTGACTAAGCAACTAAAGGACAATTAACCAATTAAGCTACATGACATTTATGATCATCATGTGAAATTTCGCTTTCTTATTAAGTGAAGGGTTAAAATGAACGGTAAATATATCACAGAGGATTGTTTCTGCTTCGTCGGGGAGTGAGAGAGTGGAAAAGGGGGAATTAATGAAGAGTTAAATTGGACGGATTGTCTTTAGCACACCACTACAAAATCCTTCGGAGCAAAGACATGCAGGTTCAAATCAAAGAATAAATGAAGAAAGATGAACTTAAGAACTCTTAACTAATTTTCATTAAATATGTGGCGAATCGCTAATGGCCGGGATCACCAACAAGGATAACCAACAAGGCAAAATCGTTAATAAGAACCTATCTTGCACACACCAAATCATTTTATCTCGTACCGATAAATGTGTAAAGAGACACGCTACAATAATTACGTCTAAATTTCCTGATAATAAGGCATGATTAGCATTTATAAGCAGATGTAAAGAAAATATAAAATCGAGAAAAATATAACAACACCTACCCTCACCCTAACCAATCAATACCATATGTTCTAAACCATCAACACCCTATAACCTACCCATATACCATATACTCTAAACCATCAACAACCTAATACCTTAACCAGTCAGTACCCATTTCCTTTACCATCAACACCTTATAAAATAATCGTATACCTATACGCTGATAAAATTTTACATTTTGAAAATACTTTCCCAACTAAAGTACATAGGTACTTCAAAAGTGAAATTCTAACTTTCGTTTCAAAACATAAATTAAAAAAATATCCTCACTAAGTATCCAACCACAAGCCTCTAATTAGTCTACAAGAGGTTTGTTATGTATGAGTGCAATGCATAAAGAGGGGCAATCAATGAGAGAGTGGAATAGGGGCAATTAATGAAGAGTTAAATTACGTGGATTGTTGTTTACCTCGTACAGATAAATGTGTAAAGAGACACGCTACCATTTACCAAATCCCAAAAAAAGATGGAACACATAATTATGTTTAAGTTGTGTTAACTCAAGGCATGATCAGGATTTTAGAAGGAGAAGCATATGTAAATATAATATAAAATCAATTAAAACAAAGTACCGAAAATTGGGATAGACAATTATCAAAGGCCCAACCTAATGACAATCCGGAAATCAGTATCTATTATCAACAAACTAGGTGCCATGGATCATGTACAAGCCTAGGGGTGAACAAACACACCCGCAAACCGACCCACCCGTCCAACCCGACCCAACCCACCCAACCCACCCGTATTTATCACTAAAACGAAGGTTTTGGGTTGGGTGAGGGTTTTCTTTTGTACAACCCGCCTCTTTTGGGTTGGATTTGGATTTTAGATTACACAACCCGTAGAACCCGACCCAACCTGTGTTCCAATTATTAGTATGAGTTCCTATATTATGAGAAAATTAAGATATTTCGCCATGTTTTTCTATCATGGTCTCCCTAATCTAATGCATTCTTCGACTTCAAATTTTGACATAAATTGAATATAGTTATGATTCACGTAATCCTACTTCTTGTGTAAAATTTAAATGAATAATATATTATGGATGCATTTTTTATAACCTTTTTAGCCTATTTCAACAAATATCGTGAAAAAAACTAGACATATGTTGAAGTAAATCACATTTTATTAAAATTCAAATAACATTTTTGAATTTTGATACCTTTCACCTCAGTTTATTCGTTTGGAATTTTAATTAGTTATAAAATATTTTTATGATGTATAATAATTATATATTTTATGTTGGGTTGAGTTTTTACTTAAAAATATCGCCAACCCGACCCAACCCAATTAGAAACAAACCGTAGGGTTTAATTTTTTTTGGGTGGGTTTGGGTTTGATAATTCCCAAACCGTAGTGCATGGGTCGGGTGATTAAAATGGTTAAACCCGAACCAACTAACCCATGTACACCCCTATACAAGCCCACTTTTGAATGTTATTTAAAAGCCTGCAAAAATCAATGATTAGACCCAGAAATAATACGGATACCAGTTCAACTAGAATTAGTCCTAAACGAACCTTTAATACTTAAACACAAATTAAGGCGACCTCTCCATCCAATTCGAATCAAATTCTGTCTTCTTCATCTTCTTCCTCAATCCTCTGGGCGAGACGATCCCTACATATCATGAAACCTTAATTTCATAGAGAGATAGAAGTTATTTTGCAAATGACAATATCGCTAAGACAAGATGACAAAGCACTAGCGATATGAACCCTAGGGTTAGCAAACCTCTTTCAAGGGTTCTTTTGAAAATGATAATTTTGATGAATACAATCAATCAATAATAGACATGGTCGCCGTAATCGTGTTAGAAAGAGATAGGTGAGTAAATTCCGGCCGGAAATAAAATGGCGTAGAACAAAACGTCGATTGTGGTTATAAGGATTTGAGTTCAAAACGATGATTATGTGAGGATTTCAGATTGGATGGGGATCTTCTCTTCGAATATGGATACATAGATTTTGGGTATGAAACATGATGATGTTGGGGATTTGAGATTGGGTAGGGAGCTAAATCGAATGTGGATCAAATAATAAAAGGATTTGGGTTTCGAAACAATGATTTTGTTGGAGATTTCATATTCAATAGCCAGCTTAAGATCGAACTTCGAACTAAGAGGGGACATCCCCTCCAAGACGAATGAGGGATCGTAGAAGGGAGACTGGAAATTGGTTAGGGAGGTGGTGGATCATATCCATAGGGTTTAACCTCTTAATCCATATAATTAAACCGGGTACAGTTAGGTTGAAGTCCAATGAAAGCTTTAACGCTTCGTGATGCTTTTTGTAATTTTCCTTTCCCTCGGTCTTCCATACCCCAGATATTGCCCTGGGCAAATCCGGGTACCGCATACCTCGAGTATGGAAACTCTATCTAGACCTCGAATTACCAGGATTTTTGTGTCTGATATTATACCCTAACCCTTAATGAGTGAACCCTAGGTCATAATTATCTAAATCATAATCTATAAACCCTAAGATGGTGCATTCCTTTTTGTGCCTATATTTGGATGAATCATAACCGTCGATTATTATTTCTAATTAAATTGATCTTGGAGTATAATATTGGGAGAGTTAACACCTAGATTTTGATCTTTAAGTGTTAGAGTATAGTATCATGTCCGAAAGATCGGTCAATTCAAGGTCTAGATAGTGTTTTCATACTCAAGGTATGCGGTACCCCGAATTTCACCCAGGGTACCGTAGAAATCGCCATATATATATATATATATATATATATATATATGGTGGCAAATTTCCCAATTTATTTTGTCTTGTTTCTTCTTCACCATTTTATTTCCCCTCGCCTATCTCTTTCTAACACGATTACGGCGACCATGTCTATTATTGTGTTCATCAAACTTTTCATTTGCAAAAGAACCCTTGAAAGAGGTTTGCTAACCCTGGGGTTCATGTCGCTAGTGCTTTGTAATCTTGTCTTAGCGTTATTGTGATTTTCCCGAACCTTATATCTCTCGGTGAAATTTAGGTTTCCTGATATGTAGTGTTCGTCTCGCCCAGAGGATTGAGGAAGAAGATGAAGAACACATAATTTGATTCGAATCGGATGGAGAGGGCTCCTTAGTTTGTGTTTATGTATTAACGGTGCGTTTAGGAGTAATTCTAGTTGGACTGGGTCTGATCATTGATTTTTGCAGGCTTTTAAATAACATTCAAACGTGGGCTTGTACATGACCCATGCAATATTCAAAAGTGGGCCTGGAACGTGCGAGCCCATTTGTTTTATCCTGCCGTATCAATTCGTGCGCCAACCCTAGTTTAACTAGATTTACTTACCCTAGTTTAACCTACACGAGTTACCATCATCATTACTACATATAATCCGAAATCTTCTAACTCTTGACATTCCAGACTCAACCATCTCCATCACACTCACGTCTCCACACTCAACCCCCATGATCACTTTTTCTTACACCTACATTCTCTCTTTCCTCCATCTTCACCTTCTCTTGTTCCTTCTTCCTCCAGACTCCATGGAAAACAAAGATAAATCGTTTGCGAAAATGGGGATACTATCTCTATCAAATGAAGACTGCCGATCCACCGCAAGTCTCGGTGACTATCTTTCATTTACAAGCAAAACAACAATTGTGGTCGAGTACGAGTTCATCCACCTAAGTCCTTCCCCTCAAGAAGTGAAGAAGTTAATAAAAAATCTTGGCTGTGAAAAGTTCTTTGATCTCCGGAGTCGAGGAAGCACCAGTTACTGCCCGCATGTGGTGAGGAATTTCTACCACAATTTAGAGCTTTCTGGTCCCTGTGATTCTCATCTCGTGTCGATCTTCCTCAGACATAGAGTCTGCTTCCAGCCTCATCAGTTTGCTGAGATCCTCGATCTCCCCGCCGCAGGACACCCCATTGATAGCAGAAGCGATCTTGGGCGGCTGTACGATTTTGAGTTTGAAGTTGAACTGGCGAAACTGACGAAGGGGCGCATCCAGGCTTCTTTCCTCCCAGATCCTCTTCGATTCCTCCATTGGATGATCGTCAACTGCTTCATGCCAAGGTACCGTGGTCATTCGATTATTCGTAAACTTGACTTGTTTATCCTTGTGCAAGCTCAAAGAGGTGTTCCTGTTAACCTCGCATCTCTCATGTGCCTGAACATGGTTGAGGCTTCTCCTAGAGGGGAAAACTGGTACACTGCCTTTCCATATGCCACCTTCGTGACCACCTTTCTTGAAAGGGTTGGGATGGATATGGGGGTTTATGTTAAGGAGGACCAGTGCGCTTATTTGCCAGTGTACCGTATCGCCGAATTGACCAATACTTTTATTGACCTTCGGCATACAGAACATGAAGAGACCCCTGAGGCATCCTCAAGCAAACGTCCTCGGCTTACATGAGAGTCGATTGATGCAGGGCGGGGTGGAGCGTTGGAGCAGCAAAGGGGCCAGCAATGGATGTCTTCTGTTAAGAAGTTTACTAAGGCTTTGTTGGGTTTTTTTTCCAGTCTTTTTTCTTTTCCTTAATTCTCCAGCACTCAAAACTGTCAGGTACTGAGGGGAGCCAGTACATCATCTGACTAGGAAAGTCTCCCATTTTTTTAATTGTCCAGACAAATATTTTTCTATGCATGCAGTATTTTGTGAATTTGCATGGCTAAGTTCCCTAAGACAGGTGACGAGATGCAGTAATGGTCATCTCCAATGGTGCAATTTTTGTGACTTGCAAGATGATGTGGCAAGGAGGTGCAATTGCATCCTACACTTGCTATGATGTGAGAAGCTATTGCAAGGGTGCAAATTTGCTTGCAATTGAAATTGGCCCACGAGTGGGGACTATAGATGAAATTGCAATGTTTTCTCAAAATTATAGAAGTGGAAGTAGGGACTACCTATGAAATTGCAAATGAATTTCATTGGAGGAGATTTTAATCCGTTTTTGTTCTAAGCAGTTCCAATTAGGTCGAAGAATGTGTGACTTATTTCATCTTCATTTTTTAATGGTTTTCAAAAATTATGGTTTTATTTATATTTGGTCACAAGTATAGTGACGATGATAGGCGTGAATAGTATGGATATGGCTTGATTATAATGATTTTTTTATCTATGGTTATTTTTCCCCTTTTACATCAAGACTCATGCTTCTTTTATTCCCCCGGTGAATCTATCATGCTTCGTTTATAGTAAAATACTCTTTTAATTATACACAATAAAGAATCCATTAATTATGTATGCCTTTTTATTGTATTTATTACTACAATGAATTCTCTCACTAAAAGGGGAGTGAAAACATCGTTGGTGGAAATTCAAGGAATGGAAGCCTTTCCATATCCTAGGAACATTAAATTAATTATATAAGAATTTTCTATCTGCCTTGTACGGGGTTTGGTCATTAATTATATTGATTGGGAGCCAATCAGTTTTACCTTTTGGGTTAACTATACGTGAATGCAAATTTAATTAGACGAGGGCAATTGGGAACAAAGTGGAATGATATGATCCCAATTAAACCTCTCTACAAGATACAATGGCTTGAACAGAAGCAACCTCACTCACAAGTTGGAAGATGGAATTTTGGTGAAGCTGGAATTTTGGTGAAGTCCCTTTGCCATTTCCACTAAAAAACAAACCAAACCAATTAACCAAACCAAAAACCAAATATAGAAAGCATTCACAAAACCAAAAAACAAATATAGAAAGCATTCACCAAACCAAACCAAAAACCAAATATAAAAGCATTGACCAAACCAAACCAAAAACGATTGTCCATCATCCTGAGAAAAAAAAATATAACAGTTGTCCATCATCTTGAAAACTAAAACGCAAAATCAGGTTGTCCTTGGGCTCGTTGACTGGGTTTCCTTGTGCTCTTCTCTTTCCTTTTTCCTCCTTTCATGGGCATTCTTGTACTCTTCCACTGCAGCTTCAACTTGAGGTGCAACTGTTCTTGCTTCCGTGAGCACCATATGCCTTATGTAGTTCATGGGCTCTCGAACAAGGTACAAAGCGATCTGCATCCTCCTCACTTGAGTGCATGGCTATCAACATCAACAAACATGGTGCTTAACGCATGATTCAAAAATAACAATCAATTGTGGTTTTCTAATATGCGAATTAGAATTGTCTTTACCCAAATATAAGAGGAGTCCCAGCTTGCGCCATACATCCACATGCATACCTAGACTCCACTGTCAGACCTACATAAAATAAAAGCATTGCGTGATAAGAACCAAGTTGATAAGTCGTCGTTTAATATCACAAAAAAATGGGCATACTTACCGATGAAGTTGTTCTTGATCCTTTGAAGGATTTGTGTACGAAAACTCTGCAATCCTTGGTGGCGACAATCACGGACCTTGTTCACGATAGAGAATCTTCCATAAGGCTTGCATAAATCTCATCTGTACAAATTAAGAAACGTTTGTACTTAGAAAGAGGTATTTACATTTTTTTTGCGTTATAACGGCACAATGTCACAAATTTACCATTGTTTTGAACAGATTGTAGTCGAAAGGAATTGCTGTCTTCATTTGGTTGTGGATCCAAGATATGGACTTCTTCCTTGTCCAACTTAATGACAGCAAAGTACCAATGGGCATTATCTCTCATCGGAACACACACCTACATATGCAGAAATTGTCAACACGTATTAAAAAAATAAACTGCAAACCATGTAATAGTTATTAAGACGAACAGTTTACCTTGTTCACCATATTGGTTCGACTAAGGAATTTTGATTCGTATAGGTCTAATTCCCTCTTGGGTGTTATTCCACATGAAATCACTAGTTCCTCCCCATGTGGTAGTTGCACAATTGAAATTTTGTCAACACAATATGATTCACGTTAAAAAAACATGTGTTGTATTTTTTTTTGGTGAGAGGAAATTAATCTTAAGCATAATCGGACCACAACCTGTAGTTCAGCAGGCAAATAGCACACTCCTTTTCCGTCCTTAGAATTTGTCCACAACTCTTCTAGAGTCAAGTGGCAGGCCATCGCTGTTATAACCTAATATAACATGGACAAAAAACACTTCATGACACTATCGAGTTGTTATAAAATAATTCTACGTAGAAAGCATTGATAGTGGACAAACAAAACAAAATTTTGGAGTTCTGTTGATTACTTCAGCATCTACGAATGAGCGAGGGCTTAAGGACCACAATGACTTCATGGTACAAGAGTTGTTTGAGGTTTTGACAATTACTTCGTCAGGTGGCAGATTGGCTAAAAATATATAGTGAGCAAGCTGGATTTGCTCATCATCGTATTCCATAGCGGTAGGTAGCTTAAACTTCAAAACAACCTGGAATAGGGGCCACAAATAAACACGAGTCGAAATGCATTCGTTATGACGGAATAACGGCAAAGAACACTTCAATGGCAAACATGACACCTTTATTACCTTGTCAACGGAACTTAGACAAATAATTTTTCCATTTGGCTTCTTTGGTGTTACCTCAGAGTCAGATTCATCGTCCGAAATAAAAACGATGACTGAAGCAGGAGTGGGTGGAGTGCTTACACCTTTGGGTATCCTTGGTTTCTTTGTTGGAGTCACAAATTCGGCAGTCTCCTTCAATGACAGTGAACCTACGATTAATAAATTAACTAGAATGGATTTCAATGGTTAAAGAGCTATTATACATACCACAAGCTTGGACGAAGAACGAGTAATCCTCCTATTTTCCATGTTGTGTCTCTAATCTAAGCTTTAGTCTGTACTCAAAATTGCGGCAAAGAAGGATATGGAACCACTGCTCTACCGCTGAAGATTAATTATATATACAAGGTTAGGATAAATTGTGGCGCCATATTTTTCCCGCCGAAAAATAGTTAGGGTTTAGTCTAAGGTACATGAACTTGGGATAAACATGGGTAGTTATTAAACCTAAAATTAAAAATATACTTTTTTCGATTGAATAGAGAATTGAGTGCTATTAGTAAATATTCGCTCATATTAATATTTGATCCTTCCCCATACATGTAGTACACAGCTAGATTCAGTTGGCGTTTGGCTTTACTAAGCAAGGTTTTTCATTTTAAATATTTTCGTTATTTGTGAAAATGGTAAAGAAATCACTAAGATAAAGAATAGAAAGTTCAACTCGTTCCTACCAAAAATATAAGATATCACAAATCGTGTTATTAATGGGGATGATTATTAAGTGGCCCATTGAAGCATTAATTCGGCCATCATTCCCAGTAGGGTTTTGTAATCTACGTCCTTGGTTCCCCAAATTTCCAGCAGTGACAATGACGTCGGAGGCAGACCCACCATTGACGTCGGAGGAAGTCCTAGTATTGACCTTGGAGTCAGTCCAAGAAAGCGCTGGTGCCGGAGCCAGTCACACCACCCAGGAAGATAATGTCGCTGATCTCATATTTCTACAGCCTGAAAATATTAAAAAAATTAAGTTCGATGATACAGAAGAAGCCTATGATTTCTACATGGACTACGGGTTAGTCAAAGGCTTCGACATCAGAAGATCAAACATTGGTCGTGATAAGAACAAAGTTATGATATGGCGTGACTATGTATGCTCTGGCGAGGGAAAGAGGCGCATGAAGAGCACATAACGAAAGAGAGAAGCAAGAGGGGAGACCAGATTTAACTGCAGAGCCAAGATGCGTGTTAAACAAGACAATGTCGATGGGAAGTGGTATGTGCACCAGTTTGATGATGTACACACACATGAAATGATCCCAGAGAATATAGACACTACATGAAAGGGAAACGTCGTATTAGTGATGCAGTCAAAGCAGCGATAAATTTTAGAAGAGCTGCAGGTATGAAAACTTCTCAAATTGTGAATCTGGCCGTATCAGAAGCAGGAGGCTACGACAATTTGGGGTACACGAGGAAGGATGCATATAATTATGTGGACAAAGAGAGGAAAGAACAAATCAGTGAAGGTGATGCCGCAACAGCCCTAGCCTACCTGCAAGCTAAATGCAGCGCGGACGATCATTTCGTTATTGAACTAAAGAAGGATGACGACGACCGGCTTATTAACATCTTCTGGGCCGATAGTATTTCTGTTGCTGATTATGCATGCTTTGGAGAAATACTGTCATTCGATGCTACTTACAAAAGGAAAATTTACCAGATGCCTCTCGTGATTTTTTCAAGTACTTTTCCTTCACACATAGAATTATCCCGAGCATACTAAAATAACCCTAGAAGTTTGCATAATCTAACTTTTTTGAACTTTATTAGGTGTCAACCACCATTCGCAAACTTGCGTATTTGCATGTGCTTTCTTGGCTAACGAGAGAGAGGAAAATTATATTTGGGTGTTGAGAGCTTTGAAGAGAAGGCTAGGCGGTGTAGATCCCAAGACTGTTATTACAGATGGGGATAGAGCAATGCGTAATGCTATTCAGAAAGTATTTCCCGATGCAACACATTGTCTATGTTCCTGGCATATAGACAAGACTATAACCAGAAATGTGAAGAATCATCCTACTTTTTTGCCCCGATGGAAGCATTTTGTGTCAGCTGACTGGGAACCTTCAGAATTCAAAGAAAAGTGGAAATCAGTGGTTGAGGAATGCTCCCTTCAACACAAAATTGGGTCTCCAATTTATTTGAGCAAAGACATGAATGGGGGTATGCATATTTGCGTTCGAAGTTCTTTGCAGGCTTGAGTACAACATCAAGATGTGAAGGACTGAACTCTCAACTTGCCAATTATATTGAGAAGGATAAAAATCTCCTTGAGTTCTTTATTCACTTTGATCGTTGGACTAGGGATATGAGGGAGAATGAGCGTCATGCTGATTTTGAATCCATTCGTCGAGAACGAACCATCACAAGCAATGTATTAGTCTCACTTCAGAAGAGTGGAGCGGCGGTTTTCACAAAGAACGCATTCTTCTTATTCAGAGACGAGGTTGAAAAGTCGGCATGTTGCATAAGG